TGTACAAACACGTTTTCTCGCTGAGATCTGATGGTTGCGAGGTGGGACTGTGATGACCTGCACTGATTCTCTGCATTCAACCAAGTATCACACGATGAGCTGGTCTGAAAACAAACTCCATCAAAGTATCTCCATCCTGGATCACATATATCTGAAATTACATTGGTATAAGTTACATTTATGCTTGATTTTCACTCATATAAATAAAAAATAACAAAGAAATCGTCAAGGAAGATGTTAAGTGGAAGGAACAGTAATTGTCGTCTTTGATCGGCGAGGCAATATCCACATGATCATATGAGCTGTGTTGATATCTCTTGTGATATACATCGTGGAACCAACCGACTGTCCCGACATCATTTTTACCTGCCAATACCAAGTAGCTAATTGTCATTGATTCGTATTGATTGGTGTAGAGTTCCTTGACGCACACACGAAATCCTGTCGTGTTTAGGTACTGGAGAAGAAAAAATATTGAAATGAAATTTTGATGAACAGATCATTTTGGATGAGCGAAAAACCGCCTAACCTCGATCCACGTTGAAACTCCATCGCAGACTGCTTTGTTTGCATCCTGTCTTTGTGTATGGTTGGTGGACAAGATAACAACAGGCACAAAACTGTAACTCTTGATGTATTTGACATCCTAAAAACGAAAATAAACAAAGATATAAATATTGGATCGTTTGAGTACCTCATTATCATCTATTCTGGAAATCACAGCAATGGTCATCATAATAAGGTATACACTATATGTTCCAGTATTTCAGATGTTTTATAGTCTTTTTATCGTCTAAACATGTCTAAACATATCATACTGCAGTTAGCCTTTTGTGTAAATTTTATCTCATCATACACCAGTATCATCGCATACCTTGCAAAAAGCTCCATTATTTCTCACTGAAGGACTTCCTGTGTTTGGAAAGTATATTTGTCTCTTTTCACTGAATAGAGGCTGGTGAACTTTATCAAACGCAAGCCAACTCTATAGATTTTTAAAACAGAACATTTATTGAAAACAAAAACAAACAAGAACAAACAGCAACCAAATAACAACAACATTAATAGCACTAGCGGTGATCCTTCATCATACGCGACCGGAACAACATAGCAGCTTATATTTTCCGGATTTCTGACTAACAAAAACAAAGCAACCGARCACCCAGAATTTTGCTGTTAGGACCAAATGACTCGACACTGAAAAAGTATTTCAACTAAATAGAAATTGTCAGCAAAATGAAAGTTAAGTCCATGTAAACACGTGCATCAAATAGTGGAAATGAAGGAAAAACCCGGGTTTTTTTGGCTTGCTCAATAAAACATCATTGTAAAGTAAAATCAACGAGCAATCTTTTAGATGCTGAGCTTTGGAAAGATTTGAGTTCAGTGCCCGGGGAGGGTTTTTGGATAGGTACGTGCCGCCAGCGGTCTAAAACCCTTACCCTGTTTAAGACACTRGAAAGTARAAATCCATACCCTGTTCAAGACAAATCGGAAAAATAAGGAATCGCTATCTACGCCGCAACCATCAAAACTGCTGACATCCATCAAAGACAATAAGTAGTTTTTGATAACACGTTAATCCTGCTACAGTGAAACGGTATTTCTTATGAAACTATTACCCTGTCCAAGACACAGAAAAAAATTATATCGGTATTTTATCTTAATTGTAGACACTGTTTAAGACAATTTGGGTTAAATGTATACCCTTTTTAAGACAGCAAGGCCAAAAACCGTACCTCGGCCAGCGAATATATGGGAGTACTAGTTGCAGCAGAATGCAACAAGTGCAACCATCATGACTTATCCTCAGCGACATTACTGTCAAACGTACGAAATGGAATTTTATTTTATTTATAAGACAATGGTCTTATTTCTAGAGAACAGATTTAATTTTAAGATGGATGATACTTTGGCCAACATACACTTTCACTCTGTCTCTAACAATATATTCAGTCATGTTTTGTCTAATTTTACCTTGTTTATGTAATATGTATGTAAAAAAATATCTTATGAATTAGTGTAAATAAAATGAAATTGAAATTGAATTTTATTCAGCAAAAAATGTAGAACAGCGTTGCCTTTCTTACCACATGAATGTCTTGGTGTAAACCGTCAAAGTTCTGCAATTCACGCAAACAAACTTGAAAAGACGTCTTGTTGACTTGCTCAAGCCAGATGTTGGCAGCATCGTGTTTGAAGGCAGTACTAATGTGTTCCGCTGTTACTATTACAGTGGGTTCAGTCTGGAATTTATCCTACGTCATAGAGTGATATGTCTACTTTACAATGATAGTATATATACCTCTGTGATACATTTTAGGATCTGAAATATGCACGTCAGTCAAATATTGGCTATTATTCATTTTTTTCATCTGGATATCATTTCAGATCATACTTTATCTCTGTTTTATACGTTATGATTGTGTTGAATTGATAAGGAAGACTAGTTTGATATACAAAATACCTTCTAAATCTCATATTTCAGTCGCAAATTAATGCATGAAACATGCGATATATTTTTTGGTTCTAGCATATGCTTCCTTTTTATTGTCTACTTGTTTAGGAATTTAAAAGTTAAAAAAGAAACTTGCATACCTTTGGGAGCTGAATTGTTTTACAACTTGTACCAGTCCACCACTCGTCCATCCTTGTTCGATCAGTCACGCCTCCATCAGGTGCACCTTGGTAAGCGAACCAATCAAAAGAGGTTTCAGTAGCACGTGCTCCCTCACCTCGACCAGCKGTAGTCACACAGGCAGTGAATCCCTGGTAATGAACACGTTCTACCCATGATGCAGTAGCGTCGTGGACCAGATTGTGATTGGTTGTATTAACATGATTGACAGTAAGATGGACGTGAACTTGTTTGTCTGGATAAAACGCATAAGGTCTGAATTTGATTTCTTKGCAGACGGTCTGATCCCCTGAATRTGAAGACCAGAATTCTCTTCCTTTCTCAAGCGGGAAACCTGAAAGACATTGCGTGTGTGATATGTTTTGTAGAGGGTCCTGAAGGGGTAAAATGGGACTGGGATTTGCCTGTTGTTTTTGGCTGGTAAAATGGGACTGGATGGACTGGGACTGGGATTTTTTGCCAACTGGGAATGGGAACTCGAACATTGAATGGGAGTGGGATTTGCCTTTAATCTATCTCGATCAAAAACGACGTAAAAAAATCTAGAATAATATTCAAAAATATTGGCATAGCAATCTTACTCAAAACTGACTCATTTTAGTACAGTTTCCCGCTAGAAGAMGCCTTTTGTGTAGTACAAAAACGACATAACTAAACATAAGTAACCCTAAACGGTCACAAAATTAGCATTTCAGAAATAAACGTTAATTTATTTGTTTATTTAGAAAATTAAATATTTGAATGAGTGTGGGATTTKTCAAAAATAGGTAACTGGAATGGATTTTTCGACAAAACGTAGACTGGGAAATGGGTTCAGACACTGCCCTTGAGGATCCTCTTTGTACACTGCAGTGTTGACATCTCGTATTTCTGGTAATGGTTACCTCTACAGCTTCCTGGATGGTACAAAGTATGGTTACTTCTGATTCTGCACATTTCTAGTTCAAAGAAGCATCTGTTTTTGAAAGTGGTTCCGTTGGAAGAGCACACTTGTTCCTCGTAAGTCGGACAGTTTGTCACACAAACACAGCGGCCATCGTTGGGTGCAAACGCTTTGCAGACACCGAAATAGCTACACGAGACATTAATACAGGGATCCAGATCTGCAACATATCAAGACTGTTTAGTCGTATTAGCTTACAGGTCCGTAGCTAGTGTTGTTTATGTTGGGGGGAGRGGGTAGATGGACACTAACCTCAATTTTTTTTTCGCTCCATTCGCAACACGATGGCAAGAAACGGGTGTTTTTTCTCCCGTTTGGTTTACAGAAATTCGTACAATGATTCAAATGTAACGAACTTGGCACTAATATAGTTCAGAGGTAGAGAAGTTAAAATAGCAATTCTATTTTCATTTTGGTTGACATGATGACGTCATACGCGATGTCCAAATATGGCAATAAACTCATAAACTTTGATTTGGATTTCAAATTTTCTAGATGTTTTGTACAATCACAACGATGCATTTTAGTGAAAACCCAACCCGAATCCGTTAAATGGCTCAAAAGTTATCGACAACTACAGAAATTTGAATTTCCTGCCAAATGCCCATATATGGTCAAAATTAAGGAGGTTTAGACGCACACCAAAATAATCCAATTTGGATGGAAACCAAGTGAATGCTACTTTTTATCCAATTTGTAGTTTTTTT